CGGCGACGGCGGCGCCCACAGATCGATGGAGCGATCGAGCGATCGAGCGATCGAGCGACCGGCGGCGCCCGCGGGGGCGCCTCGGGAAGGGCCGCGACGGATGCCCGCCGCCTGGGGCAGGGCTCCCAGCCGATGTCCGTGAGCCAGGAGACCTGGTGGCAGGGCGCGCCGGCACCGCCGCGGGAGGTCGGAGCGAGCCGAGACGGGACGATCGGGAGCTCCTGGGCAGCGCATCGCCGGAGGAGCAGCAGGAGGAGGAGGAGGAGGAGGAGGAGGAGGAGGAGGAGGGGGAGGAGGAGGAGGAGGGGGAGGAGGAGGTGGAGGAGGAGGAGGAGGAGGAGGAGGAGGAGGAGGAGGAGGAGGAGGGAGGAGGGAGGAGGAGGACCCCCCCAGCGGCGCGCTATGCCCTGCGAGCGGATAGGGTGTCGCTCCGCTCCGCGTGGCGGGGGGCCGGGAGCAGCTCGGGACGCCGACGCTTTGGGAGGTGTGAGGCGGGCACCGTGTCGCGGGGAAGCGTGGTGGGCCGGGGCCAGTGGCGCGGCACGCTGTCCAAAAATTTCCGACCGCAGGTGGCGACATGCGAACCCTACCCCCACCAACCCCTCGCCATCGCTCGGACGTCCATTCCGCGTGCATTGTTCGCATTCGCGCGTGTATTTTCTGGTATGATGATCCTATCTGCTCCTCCATGGCCCTCGCCGCGAAAAAGTGCACACATCAGCGCGATGCCAAGACCCTCGATTCTCCTGATTCGATGGGAGGCGCGGGCAGGGCAGGGATTTCGACACGCACTCGACGAGTTCCGCGCGACCCCAACCCACGCCGCCCATCGAGCTGCATCGGGCCGCGCCGGATCGTCGAAACACCAGCATCGAATCGGATCGGGCTGGCTAGGGTCGATGTCGGATCGCATCGATCGGACCGCAAGGGACCCTGGGCGGGGCGAGGGGCCAAACTGCTCTCCTCCACGCTGAACCGGCAGCGCCAGTGGTGGGCCGTTCGAAGGTCAGGTCGGTTTCGACGTCCGGGGATTTCGGAGCGGAGGGAGACGAGAAGGGGCGAAAGCGAGGATGTCTGGCAGCTGCCACGGCTCAGGGAGGAAGCGGAGGAGCGAGAGTGGGGGGAGGAAGATGAAGAAGGAGGAAGTAGAAGGACGAGGCTCTCCTCCTCCTCCTCCTCCCCCATCCCCCTGCCCCCCTCCTGCTGACTCCTGACCGTGGCTCTGCGCCACACCGCCGCGGTGAGGTCTCCTCGGGTGAAGCTCGGCACGGCGTCACGCATCAGAACCGGTCCAGTGCCCAGCCATCAGAGAGCCCAGGGCACCTCTGTGGGTGGGGAGAGCCCTGCGCCACTCTCTCCCTCCGACCTCCTGCCCCTACAGTCGGGGCGTTGGCCTAAGGAACCCTAAATAAGGAACGAGGCCCCTTTTTCCCATCAGTTCAAGTTCGATCTCCCATCGAAAACCTAGGGAAAACCTAAGGCAAGCTGTGAAACAATCAAGGAACACGGAGCCCCTCCCCAACGAAAAAGGTTCCTTCTTCAGCGCCCCGACTGTATCCTCCAGACGAAGAGCACTCTGCGCAGAAGTAAGCCTCGGAGGTCCGCGCGGATTTCCTGGATCGGCGCTGGACCCCCCTTTGGCGGCGCCTCCAGGTCCAGCGCCGATTCCAAGGAGTCAGCGCCGCCCTCCGAGAGTCGATGCTCATGCAGAAATTCCTTCTTCGATCCTCCACCTCCTCCTCCTCCTCCTCCTCCTCCTCCTCCTCCTCCTCCTCCTCCTCCTCCTCCTCCTCCTCCTCCTCCTCCTCCTCCTCCTCCTCCTCCTCCCCTCCTCCTCCTCCTTATGTTCGCAGAGCTTGCGACCCCTCCAGGGTCGACTGCCTCTAGCCGTTGTCTGCACAGATCTCGCGTCACTGCTAGGAGCGGGCCGTGCATGTGTGGAACTGCTTGCTCCACCGAATGAGCCCGTCAGAATCCTCCTCCTCGCTCCGCCCCTCCTCTCCCGCCCGAGCTGTTGCACAATCAGGCGCGCCGCATCGCCCTCCGCCCCTTCGCCGAGTCGCCCGTGCCTGTTGGAGCCATTCCACAATGCGATTTTGTTTATGGTAGGGTAATGGCTTCACGACCCGGTACATACCCAGTGGAGTCCCCATGGCTGGGTTTTGAGCCTGCTGGGGGGGAATCGATTCTTTTGACAACGCCAGGGCTACAGCAACTTTCGTGCGCCTAACGATAGTCCATTCTGCTCTGCCGAGACTCTGACCACATGCTGATCCACCGCCGCCACCGCCTTATCATCTTCATCATCATCATCATCATCATCATCATCATCATCATCATCATCAGCAGCAGCAGCAGCATCAGCATCAGCATCAGCATCAGCATCAGCATCATCAACATCATCGTCATCGTCATCGTCATCGTCATCATCATCATCATCATCATCATCATCATCATAACCATCATAACCATCATCATCACCCTCAACCTTACCCTCACCCTCACCCTCATCATACCCATCACTACCACCATCATCACCATCACCCTCGCCAGCATCACCATCATCACACCAACAACATCAGCCTCGCCATCATCACCATCATCACCATCATCATCACCAACATCAGCATCAGCATCATCATCAAAATCATCACAATCGTCGGAATCCGAATCCGAACCATCATCAAAATCATCATCATCAAGATCACCGTCATCATCATCACCATCATCATCAGCAGTATCATCCGCATCGTCATCCTCATATTCACCAAAAACAGCACAATATCATCATGATCATCATCACCATCAATTCCAGATCACTAACCAACAATCACCAATCATCTTCATCATCATCAGCATCATCATCCGTATCATGTCATCCTCATTGTCGTCAACACCATAATCATCGTCCTCAACATCACAAATCAATCATGTCATCAATCCGTGAACCCTTCAAACTCATAAATTCCTACTCATCCCCCTCATCATCATGTGCATGATCATCACCAGAATCAACCTCATCATCAACACCATCAACATCACCATCGTCATAATGTCATAATCGTCGCTTTTACCATCAGTATCATAATCAGCCACCACGTATCACCAACCATCGATCACCAATCGCTGTCCACCAACAATCAACATCTTTCATCGTAGTGTTCATGCTCAGGATCATCACCATCATCAATCAGTAAATCAGCAGCAGCATCATCGCCATCAAGATCACAATCATCATCAACAAAAGCAGCATCAGCAGCAGCCTCATCGTCACAATCATCATTATGAGCTGCATCACCCTGATCCTCGTTCTAACCATCAGCAGCATCACCAATCATCATCATGAAGCACCAGCAACCAAACACAAAGCATGAACCATCAACAATCAACACTCATCGTCAGTGAGAACATCATGATAACTTTAACTGTCAGGACCATAACCATCATCAACCAATTCATCAGCAGCAGCATCATCAGCAGTACCAACAGACTTACCATTATAATCGCAATCATAGTCACCACCGTATCCACCATCAACATCAACTTCATCAGCATGATCATCAGCATGATCATCAGCAACTTCCGCATCAAGAACAATGCCGTAAGCGAACACATCATCACCATCCTCATCACAATCATCAATCACTCACATCACCATCAGCATCATCATCATCCTGACCATCATCACCATCATCATGGTCATCATCATCAACAGCACCATCATTCATGATGGTGAAACACAAAAACCATGAAGCACCAACACTCGTTCACCAATCATTACGCATCGGTCATCATCAGTGTCAGTAGCATCATCATCCTCAGCATCACCATCACCAATCAATCATGCAAACAATCAATCAAACAATCGTTCAATATCATCATCATCGTCATCCTCATCATCACCATCATCATCATCATCATCCTCACACTACTACTCCTCCTCCACCTGATCATCAGCTGCATGAGCATCATCATCAATCTCACCATCATCAATATCATCACCATCGTTACTAATCTCAACCACATCATCATCAACATCATCAAAACCAAACATCAATCACCAACCGTTAACCAGCAACCATCAACATCACCATCAGTCATCATCACCAACATCAACATCATCATCATCACAATCATCATATGCATTATCATCGTTAACATCATTGTCAGCAAAATCATCAAGCATCCTCATCATCAGCATCACCATCGACCGCCAATCATCAATCACCAACCATTAACCATCAAATATCAACAATCCTCGTCATAATCGTCATGATCAGCATCATCAGCATCACCAATCTAACAATCAGTATCATCATCAGCATCATCATAAGTTCCATCAGAACAACCAACATCATCATCATCATGATCAGCACCATCAGAATCCCCATCATCATCATCATCATCATCATCATCATCATCATCATCATCATCATCACAGTCATCATCATCATCATCATCATCAAAATCAGCATCCTCATTATCACCATCATCGACGACAACAACAACAACATCCTAATCATCATCATGGCCATCATCACCATACTCATCGATATTACCATCACCAGCATCAGCATCGTCACCACCATCATCATCAATCACCACCCAGCAACCACCAAAGATTAGTCCTCGACCACCAATCAACATCGTCAACATCATCATCATCAGCATCATCATCATCAACTGCAGCATCTTCATTTCAGCAGCATCACCATCATCACCCAATCAGCATCATCATCATCATCATCATCATCATCACCAGCATCATCATCATCATCACCATCATCATCAGCATCATCAGCATCATCAGCATCAGCATCAGCATCATCAGCATCATTCCCATCATCATGACAATCAGCATCAGCAGCATCAGCATCATGAACGTCATCATCATCCACTCCTGCTCGCCACGACGCCCAAAAGGGATGGCCAGAGCCCCCCTCGGGAGGGACCAGCACGAGCACCGGCATCAACGCCAGCGTGAGCAGGCCCTCCACGACCTTCCCCCCCCATGGGAACCGCTCCGCCGCTCCTCTCTGCTTCCGGAAGGGAGGACGGGAGGGGAGGACCGCGGGGGAGAGAAGGGAGGATCCCCGGGGTGGGAGGGGGCAAGGAGGAGGGGGGGGAGGGGGGGAAGAGAGGGGGGAAGAGGAAGGAAAATGGAGGGAGGGGGAGAGGGAGGGAGAGGGAGGGAGGGGGGGAGGGGAGGGAGGGAAGGCCAGGAGGGGGAGGAGGGCGGAGAGGAGGGAGGAGGGCGGAGAAGGGGGAAATGAGAGATGCCGTCGCCGCTGTCGTCGCAGTCGACGCCAGCGTCGGCGCCGGCGCCTGCGCCGTCGGCGCGGGCATTTGTTTCGCCGTCGCCGCCACGCCCGGCTTCGCCCTCGACCTCGCCCTCCTCCTCCTCCTCGCCCTCCTCCTCGTCCTCCTCCTCCTCCTCCTCCTCCTCCTCCTCCTCCTCCTCTTCCTCCTCCTACTCTTCCTCCTCCTCCTCCTCCTCCTCATCCTCCTCGTCCTCCTCCTCCTCGTCCTCCTCGTCCTCCTCGTCCTCCTCCTCCTCCTCCCCCTCCTCCTCCTCCTCCTCCTCCTCCTCCTCGGGGAGGGGAGGCGGGAGGGAGGAGGGAGGGAAGGGGAGGGGAGGGGGAAGGGAGGGGGAGCGATGGGGGAGGGGAGGGGAGGGAGGGGACGGGAGGAGGGGAGGGGACGGGAGGGGGGAGGGGGGAGGGGAGGCAGGGAGGAGGGAGGGGCAGGGAGGAGGGAGGGGGGGGGGGGAGGGGAGGGGCAGGGAGGAGGGGAGGGAGGGGAGCGACAGGGGGGAGAGGGCGAGGCCTCCCGCGGCGGGCTGCGCGGGCCGCCGGCTCGGGCACGGCGCGCGGAGAGGAGGGCGCCGGCGCGCGGCCCTCCCAGGGCAGCCCGCGCTCCACGGCCCCCCCCCGGGCTCGTCGTTCGACGGGAGGCGCTCGAGGCTCGGATCGAACTCTCAATGCTGAAAAAAAACTGCGCTCGGGAGTCGTGGAACGAGAACACATATGAGCCATCCACGATGGTGAACACTCGGGCTCGTCGTTCGACGGGAGGCGCTCGAGACTCGGATCGAACTCTCGATGCTGTAAAAAAACTACGCTCGGGAGTTGTGGAATGAGAACACATGAGCCGTCCACGATGGTGAACACTCCTGCCTCGACCAAAAATGCTGCCGATCGCTTGAGCGGATGGGTCCACGGCCTCTGAAATTGCAACTGCCGTCTCCTTGGCCAACACCCCCGGAGGGACCCATCGCACCTGTGATCTTCCGAAGACGGCGTCCAACCCGATTTTTCCCCGTGGGGGGGGGGCCCAGCGCGGCAAGTCTCACGCAATGGTGCCTCTTGACGAGGGCGCGCCATGAACTAAAAAGGTCTCGAGGGAAACGGGTCCTGGATGTCAGAGCTTTTGCCCGGGACCAGGTTTTCATCCTGAGCCGTTTGTTGACGCCCGGGGAGGGCCCCGAGAGAGCCAGAAGGCAGTCGAACGGTTAAATGGCACGCTTCTCCCAGGACCCACGTCCCTCACTGCCCTTGCGTGTAATGGGCGGCTACCTGGCAGAGGGATGGAGGGAGGGAGGGAGGGAGAGAGGAAAGGAGGGCGGGAGGGAGGGAGGGAGGGACAGAGGGGAGAGATGGAGGGGAGGGAGGGGAGGGAGGGGAGGGAGGGAGGGGATGGAGGAAGGGAGGGAGGGAGGGGGAGGGAGGGAGGGGAGGGAGGGAAGGGGAGGGAGGGAGGGGAGGGAAGGGAGGGAAGGGAGGGGAGAGGAGTCAAGCTATGTGCGCTCGCGTCATATCTGACGTCCTACCCCTCCCTCCCATCCCTTACCATGGCGCTGATTTTCTCTATCCGCGGACGCGTGTCGTAGCGGACCTGTGGCTCCGCGCGCGCGTGCGTAGTGGGTGGTGGTGCGCGTGCGTGCGTGCGTGCGTGTGCGTGGTTGTGGTTGTGGTGGTGTGGTTGTGGTTGTGGTTGTGGTTGTGGTTGTGTGTGTGTGGTTGTGGTGGTGGGTGGTGGTGGTGGTGGTGGGGTGGTGGTGGTGGTGGTGGTGGTGGTGGTGGTGGTGGTGGTGGTGGTGGTGGTGGTGGTGGTGGTGGTGGTGGTGGTGGTGGTGGTGGTGGTGGTGGTGGTGGTGGTGGTGGTGGTGGTGGTGGTGGTGGTGGTGGTGGTGGTGGTGGTGTGTGCGTGTGTGCGCGTGTGCTGTGGTGTGACGTGGTGTGGCGTCTTGGTGGTTTGGTGGTGGGCCAGATGCGTGCGTGCGTGATGGCGGTGGTGGTGGCGGTGGTGGTGGTGGTGTGTGTGTGTGTGTGCGTGTGTGTGTGTGTGCGTGTATGTGTGTGTGTGTGCGTGCGTGTGTGTCTGTGTGCGCGCGCGTGTGATGTGGTGTGACGCGGTGTAGCGTGATGGTGGTGGGTGGGGTGGTGGCGGTGCGCGTGCGTGCGTGCGTGCGTGCGTGCGTTGGTGGGTGGACGTGGCGGTGGGCGGGGCGGGGCGCGGTGCGGTGGTGGCGGGCGGATGGGCGCGCGAGAAAGAGGCCCGCGCTGGGGCGAGAACGCCATCCTGAACGACGGAGGCAAAACACCGATCCGAAAATGAGACCCACGCTGCAGCGGGAGCACGATTCGGAACGAGCGGGGCCCGAAAATGAGGCCAGCGCCTCAGCGAGAGCAGCATTTTGGAAAAAAATGCAGGCGAAAACCCAACTCCGGGGAATCCCGTGTAACAAAAACAGTACGCGGGGGGGGGGGCGAACACTCCCAACCCGTCATCCGGGGAAGGAGGAGTGGTACTCATATTGAGTGATTGTGGAGGGGAGGGGAGGGAGGGAAGGGAGGGCAGGGAGGGAAGCAAGGGAGGGAAGAGGAGGAGACCACTCCAGATCCCTCTGGGCGACCTCGGGGAAACGTCCCCTCGGGCCAAGCCCGGGAGGGGCGCCCCGTGGCCGGGCGCCCGCGGGCACCGCGGCAGAGGGACGGCCCCGTCCAGACGAGGAGGTGCACGGCCCACTGAGGGAAAGGAGGGGGACGTGCTCCTCCTCCTCCTCCCCCTCCTCGTCCTCCTCCTCCTCGTCCTCCTCCTCCTCCTCCTCCTCCTCCTCCTCCTCCTCCTCCTCCTCCTCCTCCTCCTCCTCCCCCTCCTCCTCCTCCTCCTCCTCCCCTCCTCCTCCTCCTCCTCCTCGTCTTCCTCCTCCTCGTCTGCCTCCTCTCTCCTCCTCCCTCCTCCTCCTCCTCCTCCTCCTCCTCCTCCTCCTCCTCCTCCTCCTCCTGCTTTTCCTGTTCCCATTCCTCCTCTTCCTGTTCCTCCTCCTCCTCCTGCAGGTCAGAGACAGAGGGGAGGGAGCAGGCAAGTGCTGGGTGTGGCCGGATGAACCAAGCCCGCTGACCCCTCCGAAGCTCGGGGAGTCATGCTATCAACCTGTGTTTTTGAAGGGGGCCTGTGCGACACGAATTGGCGATGCCAAAGACGAGGCTCGAAAAAAGAAACAAATACACGCTCGAAAGCTTGAATCGCATGACGTCGAGCCTGAGTGCAACGCCGAACGACGTCTGCGCCTGGCCGCGAGATGCGATCCTCGAATCACCGACGCCCAACGGGGGTAGAAAATTACCGGAGACGATGACGCGCAGCCCTGAGGACGACCCAAAAACGCACTATCACTGAACGGCGCTGCCCACACAATGCAGGAATATGATGCTGTCAGACGGTGCACATACACGGCGGGTCGCAAAAAACGTTAAAATAACACATCGGCCCCATGACACTACGAGCGATCATACGATTATCCTTTGGGCGCCGCGGGGGGATAAACCGAGTTCTAAGGGGCAGTTGTCGCTCTCATCATCGCCATGATGATCACATGATGCTCAACATGAAGTGGTCGACTGTGAAACGCTATGGTTTCCATGTTGTGCGGCCGCACATGACCACCTGAATGTCAAAGGTCAAATGTTCAGAACGAAGCGTTTCACTTGCATTGTGGGGCTCAACATGAGATGGTCGACTGTGGGACGCTATTTCGCACACACCACTTCAAAACATCGCAAGCGACCCACTAAACTTCGAACAAACAAAATCTCGAAAGTGTGTTCTAGGGTTCAACACGAGATGCCGATTGTGAAACCCTCCCTGTGTTTGCTCAATAACGCGCTAGCACGCGCAAGCCGCATTGTATCCCGATCGACCGCAAATGACCCCCTCAACTTCGAAACCAATCGTTGTACGTGTGTTCTGGGGCTCAGAATGACATGGTCGACTGTGGAACACCACGAGCTTGTTATTGTGCGCGCGTGCGCGCGAAAGCCGCACTAAAAAAATGGCACATAACAAACGACAACGTTAACTTCGAATGAGGGGAGGGCGACGGCGGGGGGGGCGAGGACAAGGGGAGGGAGGGCTGCTCGAGCCCACAGGGAAGGCCGCAGAGGTTTGAGGAGGGTCACCCAAACAAGGGAGGGTCGCCCGTCCAACCATGGGGCAGATCACCCGAACACAAGGTGATGGCCCAAACCCGACCGCGGGTCGTTGAACCAAACATGGGAGGTCACCCGCCCACGGTAGTGTCACCCAACTTTGGGGGGCGCCACTCGACAATGGGGGAGTCGCCCGACGATGGGGGGCCACCCAACCATGGGGTTGTTACTTACCCAGCGATAGGGTGGTTACCCACCAAAAGGGGGTGGGGTCACCCGACCATGGGGTGTCACCCAGCCGTGGGTTGGTCACCCGACCGTGGCGGGGTCACCCGACCGTGGGGGGGGAGGGGGTCACCCGGTCATAGGGGGGTCAGCCGACCACGGTGGCGTCACACAGCCTTGGGGAGGTCGCCCAACCCTGGATGGGGGTCTCCCCACCATGGCGGTGTTCGCCCAACGTTGGCGCGGTCACCCGACCAAGGGGCGGGTGGCGCAACGATGAAAGGATAGCCCGACCCATACATGCGAGATTCATCCGACCATGGGGAGGTGATCGAACCGTGGGG